TTCTTGCACTTATTGTTTACACACTTCAGCAGAAAAGTGCTCAAATTATTAACTCTCAATAAACAAAGGAACTTTCAAGGATAAATAAACATTTTGTGAATACAGTGAGCTGATTGAATTTCACGATTTGTGTTGTGCTCTCGTAAATCTAATTAGTTAATTTGTGTTCTCGTTCATTGAACATTTAACCATAAATGATATTATTATTATGAAATTTCACTATTTCTTATAAATCAAGATACTTATTTACTCGCTTATTTACTTTAGATTAGTATAAAATTTGTAGTTCGACTGGACGTCCAAATAGGAATTATTAGATAGGATTTGATTGCTGATTAAACCGAATTAACTTCATTTATTAATTAAATTGATAACTATTCTATTTCAGCGTTTTATTTGTATAAATGAGAATCAAGGCACCCCTAGTTCAATACAAGGCTTAAATGATCCAACACCTAATGGTTAATTTTTACAGTCAGTCAAAGTAAAAACTTTTGACATCCCTGGTGCGGTAATGACTAGAGTCCACAAAAGGGTAATAGCTAGTTCCGTCACACAAATAGAACACCCTGTTTATTAGTAAATATTCGGATTCTACGTAAAATTCCGAGCAGATTTCATGTGATATACCCTTTTACCTAAGTTCAACTGTTTTGGAAATATTGACAGTTGAAAATTGACTTTTTTGCAACTTTGACAGGCTGTAAATCCTAAACGGTTAATTTTAGAGCAAAACCGATCTAACATTTTTATCTTAGATTTTTATAAATCAGTTGACACCAACTTTGAATTTAATCCATGATTGAAAATTCCAATTGACGTGTCTGAAAAAGCGAGCTTAATTGTAATAAATACAAGTTAGAAAGCGATAAAAAATGACATGCGCGCGCAACTCGTGGTTGCAGTGTAGCCAGATTGTATTGTTGCACAACAAATGTAGACAATACAAATCGAACATTATAACATTAAAGAAGTGATATATTGTCAAGTGTTTTACAACGCCTTAAATCAGACAAAAGAAGAGCTTTAAAGTGTATGTTAACATAGATAGCACTTTTATTTTGATAAATGTTCCATTCGGCAACATCGCACAATGAAAATACGTCAAGTATAATCTAACATAACCTTAAACGACATTGGGATAAGTTCAAGTAATACGTAAAGTATTAGTTTGCTCTTTGTCGAATTACACGTTACAAAGAAAGAAGAAACGATTAATTCTAACTTTTCCCTGAATACGAATATGACGCAAGCCCGTAACAAACTCGATTTTCATTGGACGCTCACCTGCAACCCACGAGTTGCGTCCGCACACCAGGTATTACGAGACACGTTAATTAAATTTAATCTTCGGTTAAATTCAATGTTGGTAAAATTATAACTTGTAAAAATCTTAGAAAAAAATGTAAGTTCGGTTTTGCTCAAAAGTTAACCGTTTAGGTTTTACAGCCTGTCAAATTTGCAAAAAAGTCAATTTTCAACTGTCAATATTTCGAAAACAGTTGAACTTAGGTATAGGGTATATCACATGAAATCTGCTCAGAATTTGACTTAGAATCCGAATATTGAATAATATACAGGGTATTCAATTTAAAATAAGAAAGTTGGAGAACGACCAGCTTTTTTGAAACACCCTGTATATACAAAAGTGAGTTTTTCAAAAAATTTAATTTCAACCATACATTTTTTTATTTGGGACACTTTTTTCTAAAATGTCAAATAAAAAAGATAGAGAGCGGTGACATTTATAACCAATAACCCTGTACAGGTGAACTACCTGAAATCGCTATGAGAAAATATGTGTAACGGTGTATAAATCAGAGATGTATAAATGTTAAAATCCGCTGGAGTATAACCAGTTGTACAACTCTCCATATTTGTTGAGGCCAAATTCTCCAACCAATAGGAGCATTTTGTCCCATATCATACGCATGCGCTCAATGAGTGAACAAATCTCTCAAATTGAAAAAGCAGTTCGGCATATACATGTCTCTTTCCAATCCTGCACGCAAAAAAGAGATAGAGATAGCTTGGGTGAGAACCCGCGAGAAATAACTGTCAAACGAGACACGCAACAGGATTGTATTACAAAAAAAGAAGAGAAGTTTTTTGACTGAAATTATTCAGGAAATTGAAAAGTAACCGGAAAATTCATCAATTTGAAATTCGGCTCAAGAGTGTCTTGCTTTCCGTGTTATTCGCGATTTTTGTGTACTTGACTGTTTTATCGTTTATATATTGTGTATTATCATGGTTGCTTCCTGTTTTGTCTGTAAAAACAACACTAGAACTATAAGCCCAGGCTTAGGATATTTTAGTTTCCCGAACGATGAACGACTGTAAGTATTTATATTTACATATTTCATATTAGGTCTACTCTATACATTCACATAATCTTTGTTTATTATTATATGATCCCGTTATATTCTCAATGTTAATCCACAAAAAATCCTAGTCCGACTCTTTCCACGGCCCAGGATTCGTTGTTTCCGATGAATAATGCGCAAGCGCGAAATATAGGGACATGGAATTTGGCTTCAAAAAAATCTATGGTTTGTCAACGGAGTTGAACAACTGTATCGGTACGGTATAAACTGTGGTATAACATTTATACAGCGCTCAAGCTGAAATGAAAGTCATTGAAATGACTCTTATACCTTGTCAAAATGATCACAAAAATACCTGTTATATGACGTTTGAAAATCAGTGGCATACCCCAGACATTGGTCTTAGGGGGGGATAAAAAATAGCGAGGGCAACAAGAAGCAAATTTTCAATGAACTATCGGATTAAGCTTTTTGTAATGCAGAATATAGTCGCCTAGGTCTTTTTGTCAGTTCATCTATGATTTTATCTTCACTCGCCGATAGTTCTCTATGGATTTGACATCATTGCCAATCCATTAAGCCTGTTTTGACAAGTAGCGTTGCGACAATAGGTTTTTATTCTTTCAGCCATGTGCAGGTTTAAAAATTAAAAAGATTGATAAGGACAGTGACATAATTGACTAATCAAAAAAAAGGTACAGAACTTGGATCAGTCTGTCATTAGTGAAATCTTTCTGGTTTATTCCGCCCTTTTCTAAATCATGCCCAATTTTTGAATAAAATTTATACTCCTCCTAGAACAGTTAAAAAAATTTGGTCCTTCGAGCTGAATCCAGTTTCAGCAGCAAAAAACAATAGATGAAAAGAAGCCCAATAATTGTTGTAAAACAAAAAATAATTAACTTCAAGAAGCATGTGAGCCCTTCCACGTTAGAACAAACATTTCGAAGATTTACCTTGAACTTAAACGTCATAAATTATCTCTACCTTTTCTAGAATTTAAAACAAGTATTTGTGTCAATTCATTGGCGGGCTTTTCATGCAAGTTATTCCAAAAGTTTTTTCACGATAATAGTCCAACTTCAATATCAGTGACTCCAATCAGTATAGAAATGACAGAAATCGATACTCTAACGAGAAAACGTACTCACTAACTTTACAGTCAAACCAGACATAGGAAAGTCAGAATTTCTTCAGTTACAAGATAGGAGAGCAAGGGTAGAGAGAGCACTGTCTGATTTTCAGGAAATTTAGACTGAAATTGAGGCAAGCCACTGTTGAAAATCAAAATAATTGATTTCCGTGAAAACTTTCTAGAAGCACTTATTTAAGCAGAATCCAGAGATGACGTTCTCAGTTTTTTTTCTATTTGTTCCCGAATTCGAGATATTATTAACCAGAGTCCGATTTTTTTTGATGAGACACCCTATATATTAATTTCCTATCAAAAGTGTCCATACATTCTTTAGCGTATAAGTAAAGTAAATATAAATTTTCAAAAAATCATTGTTGAAAATATTTCTAAACCTGCGTTCCCCCTTGAAGAAAATCCTGAATCCTCCACTGGCCATAATAAGTGCCTAAAACCGTACCGATTTTGAAAAAAAAATGGACACTTTGATAAAGAAAATAATAATCACCTGTCAAAAGATGAATGTGGAACCCTACGACAATGAATGTATTTCATGCAATAAATGCAGTTAAATTTGTACGTGCTCTGTTATGATTTCTACAGTCCACTCAATTCAAGAGGTGGTGCAACAGCAGCCAATCTTGAAATGTCGAAATTTTGACTTTGGTTTTTGGAGGAAACTCTGAAAATGACGAAAATCGAAATTTCAACCGGCCATAACTCTGTAACGATAAGTCATAGAGGAAAACTCTTTGAGGACAGATTGTAGAACTCATCGAGATCTACAAAAAAGCTTTTCGAGTCTTACCTCTGCGACTTACCATTTCCGAGATATTTCACTTGGAAGTTTCAAACTCATTGGGTTAGTTCAAAAACAAAGTCAAAATTTTCCAAAATAAAAAATCCTATTTTGATTTGTTTATCTCATTTTGATAAGACGCCCAACTTTTCTTTTATGAAAATTGAGAAAACAGGTAGCTAACAAAGTGCGCAGGTGTAAAACATGTTAGAAGCTGCGGAAGAAGAAATTTTGATTAATATCAACTTAAGAGTTGCTAATGATCATTTGAAATTTTGCTAATTATCGGCTCTTGAGGTTTGAATGTCCTTACAAAAATTCTCCAGCGAGTTAATAAAAGTTCAAATTGTGACTATTAGCGGCTCTTGATTGGCTCTAGGAAGGTTTTTCCAAAGAATCAAGAGCCGGTAATAGTTCAAATTTTGACTATTTATACAATCTATCTATAAATATTATAGGTATTCTTAACTTTCGACTTTTCATCCCATGATAATTTCCATCTTTCAGAAAAACAAAAATGATATATTTATTTCAATAGAAACCAATTTATTCAAACTGACTTCTAGATTTAAGAATGATAAATCCAATGTAACTTAATTATCTCTGAAGTTTTCTATAAGCAGTGTCAAGTACTTTTATTCATCTCACATCACATTTTTTGCGAAACCAATTAAAAATTCCTGGTTTTGGTCCGGATTCTCAATGGCCTAATAATTGATCTCAAATGAAACATTTCAAAAAAAAAGTTAAAACAACTTTATATTTATTATCAAAATAATTTCCAATTAAATCTAACAAATGTAAAAATTAATAAAAGTGACAGGTTCAAAATTTTCAATAAAAACCATGCAAAACTCTCAAATAAACAAATTTTCCAAAGTTAAAATAATAAAAAAAGAAAATGTTGAACATGCATTCACATAAAAACTAAAATACATACATAATAAACTAATTTTTGTTGGCCCTCATTTTCATCAACAACTCGAATCTTCTATTGGTCCTCACTTCAACAGTGTTTTTCCTATTCTGATCAGTCCTGCTCGAGTTCGGAATGAATTTCGATTTGGTACACACTGCTTTGATTTGCTCTTCTTTTGTGATGTTAACTTTGTCTGTTTGCATTTTGAATCCAAATCTAAATAATAATTTTTGTTAGTGGGATTTCATTATATATTCCTGGACAAAATTATCGCACCACTACTGCACATTAGCACCATAAGCAGTGGTACAATAATTTTGTCCAGGAGTATATTTCTGTTACAAAAATACTTACCTAGAAATCACTTTTCCACTAGGCCCAGCAGCAGCTATTGCATTTTTCTTTTCCATGGGTACTGGTTTCTTTATTATTTGAGGAGTTGTTTTTTGTGCAGGCGATTTTGCAGTTTTCTGCTTCTTTTCTAAAGAAGCCCGTTTCTTATTGATAATTTTCTGCTTCATTTTGGTGACTTTAAGTACAGGCAATCTAGAAGCTAAGACGTTTTTCTCTTTATCTTCATCGCCAAATAGTTTTTTTTTGGATTCCTTATCAGCTTTTTCTTTGGCCGCTACAAGGCTTTTACCACCTGACATCAAATATTGAGCCCTTTGAGCTTTCCTTTCAACCAAATCTTGAATGCTTTCCAATTTTTCGTTGCGACGTTCGTGGATTTTTGCAAAGTTGGGCATTTTAACTCGAGAAGAAGTGTTTTTGAGCATTTTTTCGGCTTTATTTTTTTCATTGGTAAGCACTTTCTGTAAAAGGCTTTTATTTTGAATCCTTGGAGTGCTTGTAGAACCGGGCGGTGACATATAAGCGACTGGGGACACACAATTTTTACTTATTATTACACTATCATCAGCGCTAAATTTGGGCTTTGGTGTTTTTTTGATTAACATTGGGGCATGCTTTCCTTTGGGCGTGGTCAAAGGACTATTGATTTTGACAGATTTTTTTGGGGTTTTGGTTGCTTGAACCTCTTCTTGGGCTTCTTGAAGCTCGAACCTAACTGACCTGTTAACAGAGCTCAATGAAGTTTCAGCTAATTTATCTAAAATTGGGGTTTTTTTAGACTGAGACCAGCGTCTTCTTGACGACCTGCGACGCTCTGGAGAAAATGGTTCAGGTTTAAGTGAAACCTTTCCCATGCTGGCAAACGTGTCAATCAAAAAGTCTGGTTTTTCGTTGTCCAGCATGAAATTGTCTTAAAATAAATTCAGTTATTGTTTGTAATGTATCAAATCAAAAAATATTACCTAATTGTTCAGCTGGCATATTGACGACTGCTTGAATATCATTTTTAAAGTCTTTCGTAGATTTTTTCAAAATACTTTTTTGTACACTTTTTGGAGGCAATGGAGATTTTACTACAGTGACGGTTTTATTGTCGTTATTTTCCGAGCTCAAGTTTCTCAGTTCTTCAAATGCAGTTGGAGTTTTTGACCCAAATAACGGCGTACTTTGGTTCAACTTCGCGGTGGCATTGCATCGGCGTAAAGTGACAAAGTTTGTACGTCTTGTAGCCTCATCTTCGCTTCCTATGAAAATAAAAGCGAAATTTGCTAGTAAACTAGAAAATTGTCAGGGTGCCCTTAGATAAACTGACACATATTGTAGGTACATAAATATCTCGATTTTCATTGTATCTGAGTGAGAAAAAAATCATAATTCCATTTCTGAGCCTGAAATCCATACGCGGTTTATTTTGGTTGATAAAAAGACCCTACTCAATAAATCCTGAAAGTTTGAAGTCCCTTTACTTAATCGCTTGAAATATTTTTCATTTTATCATTCATTTTGTTTACCAAAATCTACACCATAATAATTAAAACGATGAAATTTCATTTTTTTTTGTGTGAAGATTTTGTGTCCTAATGGTCATTTGTGATCCCCCAAACTCCATATACTTAATTATTCCCAGATTTGGAGCCGAAAACTATGACAAAAGGAACTCAGAAAAATTGAAAAATTGATAAATCACCCCAAATTGCTTAACACCAATTTATCTCAGAAACTATAGGTCCAAACGAGTTGAAATTTTCAGGGATTGTGGTCCTCTATTACAATAAGAATCGTTGAAAATTTCAGTTTTCTATCTTTAATAGAATAGTATATTGTGTATTTAGGTGGAAAAGTGACACATTCTCAGCCGACGGTGTAAGTTGACGGACGAGGCGTAGCCGAGGCCGGCAATCACCGAAGGCCGAGAATGTGCTTTTCCACCGAAATACACATACTTTTTGTTCTGCGATCGGTTAAATACCTGTTAAATGTTTGTCTTTTAGTTCCAATTATTCAGCAATACGAGAATCACTTTCCCGGCCTAGGCCGGAAAAGTGTTTCCCGTATTGTTATTCATTGATTCCTTAGCAACTATTGAAACATAATTGAAATACCAGAATATTGAGTTTTGCGACCTGTCATCCGGTCAAAAATGCTGACATTTCTTGTCAATCGCAGAAAAAAAAAGTTATGACCTTCCAAAGTTTTCCAAAATCTACATCATAAGGTAAGGTACCTTCTTACTAAAACGATGAAATTTAATTTTTTTTTGTGGAGATTTTTTCTCCTAATGATCATTTGTGATCCCCCAAACTCCATATACTTAATTATTCCCAGATTTGAAGCCGAAAACTATGAAAAAAGGAACTCAGAAAAATTGAAAAATTGATAAATCACCCCAAATTGCTTAACACAATTTTATCTCAGGAACTATAGGTCCAAACGAGTTGAAATTTTCAGGGATTGTGGTCCTCTATTACATTAAGAATCGCTGAAAATTTCAGCTTTCTATCTTTACTAGAAAAAAAGTTATGACCTTCCAAAGTTTTCCATAATCTACATCATAAGGTAGGTACCTTCCTCGGTACCTTCTTACTAAAAAGATGAAATTTCATTTTTTTTTTGTGGAGATTTTGTGTCCTAATGGTCATTTGCGAGGGGTGAATAGCTCTTGCAGTCGGTGTACATATTTCTCACAATCTTAACACAATCATTCACAATCGTTCACAATCTGTCACAATCGTTACACAATCTCACACAATCTGTCACAATCGTTACACAATCTCACACAATTGTGTCACAATCTCTCACAATCATATCACAATCTCCCACAATCGTTGCACAATATCTCACAATCGTTACACAATCGCTACACAATATACCACCATCTGTCGCACGTGGGGTTCCTCCAAGGGCCGGTTTCTCAATAGAAACTCACCCCCAGTTTAGGCATAACTCCAGGGTAAACATTGCAACTGGACACACTTACCCTGGAGTTAAAACCAACCCGAAGGTGACTCGCTATTGAGACACCGGCCCCAAATAGTTTAATTTACTTTATTTTTGCCCGAAATAATAGGCTCTTTTGATGAGCTAACTTTTGTATGCCACCTCCTGCACCATAGATTTCTGAACTTCGTCGTACTGAATAGGGAAATACTAAGGGGAATACCCATAAACCATAAAACAAGCATAAATATTGTAGGATTGGTAATAGACCTATCTATTTTTACCTGTATGCGCGCGCAACACGAGGCAATGCATTTTTATTGGCTGACTAGTATAGGTGTAAAGTAATCCTTTTGCACGCTGGGCATCTCCTTGTCCTTGTTCATTGCCCATGGTTTGACAAGGATAAAATTATGCTTGATATTCAACTCGACGTAGCTTGACAAGTGTTCGATTTTCAATTGTTTGTGTTTTTGATTGACAAATATGTTGCATGTCACGCGGTTTTCCTCCTTCCTTTTTTATCCCGTGCAAATAATAAGAACGGACTGCTATACGTAAGTCTAACATAATTTGGTACGTTTTGCCTCGTCTTGCGCAGTAAGCGTTTTGCGTCTTTTTCTATTTAATAAAGTTTTCGTATTATTACCTCTTTGTCTGGTAAAATAGATAGGTCTATTCCATATTACCTGCCAGCATTCCAATACCTGTGTTCACCTAGTTTACCGTTTACCTAGTTGATAGTACCTTTGTTAGTTTTAATTAAGTACCAGTGTTGATTGGTACCACCAGTTGTTAAATTGTTATGTCAGAGTGAGTGACGAATAAAAATAAGTCTGTCATGAATGTGCTAGAACTGTGTTGTTTCATTCACCCCTAGACAACTACAAAACCCTACAATATCTGAGGAAAAATCGGAGTATATCAAGAAGGACGTAGGTTTTTCTACTTTTTTGAGTTGACAATAAGTTAACAATCTTTATTTAAAGAATTATCAATAAAAAGCCAAAACGTTTCACATAAAAACCAAAAAGAATTCACCCTTAATCCAAGTTATATGGAAAAAAGGGAAACTACTAAAAGTAAGGAAATAGTATATTGTGTATTTAGGTGGAAAAGTGACACATTCTCGGCCGACGGTGTAAGTTGACGGACGAGGCGTAGCCGAGGCCGGCAATCACCGAAGGCCGAGAATGTGCTTTTCCACCGAAATACACATACTATTTTTTCTGCGATCGGTTAAATGTTTGTCTTTTAGTTCCAATTATTCAGCAATACGAGAATCACTTTCCCGGCCTAGGCCGGAAAAGTGTTTCCCGTATTGTTATTCATTGATTCCTTAGCAACTATTGAAACATAATTGAAATACCAGAATATTGAGTTTTGCGACCTCTCAACTGGTCAAAAATGCTGACATTTCTTGTCAATCGCAGAAAAACTTCTTTATGTTGGCTGTTTTCAGAAAAATATGGGAAATTACTAAGGGTGAGGGAGAAAGATGCCAAAAGAAGAGAAAACAAAACAAATAAACAAAATGAAAGAAGTAATAGAAAAATTGAGAAAAAAAATAGAGAGAAAAATAGTAAAAATTAAGAAAAAAAGAAACTCAAAAAATACTAAAACTGCAAGAAAAGCTAATCTGCAAAAAGTACAAAATGTATTGTCATTGACTAGCCTTTATGATTTAGAAGGTGGAGAGGAATATTTCAATGAGCAGAAGAGCAGCTTGAAGAACTTGAAGTAGATTGGTAATATGCAGTTGCCTACTCTAACAAATACCTCGACAAATACCACATTGGAAAATTGACAAAAGTATAGAATGTCAGATAACTTTTTTAGAAGTCTTTAGATGGCCTAAAAATCTAGACCTGGACCTTGTAGAAAAAATATATATTATGTATGGTCTAATGTCCAATCCATTTTAAAAACTTGAGTCGCAAAAAATTACCAACATTTCCAAGGAAATAAAATCCTAATTTGAAACCAAGTACTTATGTATCTATCTCACAACAATTTTTTTTTTATTCGTCATCATCTTCCTGTATCATTAATTAAAACTTTTATCTGTCACTACGTAAGATGATTTTTTCAAATTCAAACACCCGGTATATATTTGAAAAATTTCGATTCCATAGGTGGCACAGAGAAAATTCATGTTTCAAGTGTGATGCACAACTTTCAAGAGCGGTTGGAGATGTGCGCTCACAAAGCAGGGTGACACTTGACTGACATTATTTTCCATCATTAATTTAAAAGCGCACTATTATTACTTCATTTAGCTCTAGTTGAAAATTAAAAATGTTATGCTTGTAGGTACCTACGTGAAAAACATGCGTTTCCTCTGGGCCACCCTGTATAGGGTGTCCCATTTTGGTTATACGTAAGGGATAACCCGGTTGCTATTAGAATTAGGAGGATGCGGTTTTTGTGAACGGCGGTTACTTTTCTACCAAACAAAAGATGCCATCGACAGAATTGTCATTTTTGTTTTTCAGATACACGGTGTTCTTGAAAATGTTGCATTTTGGGACAGCCCTTGGTATCTCAGTTCTGAGTGATCAGATGACAACTCGGGTGACAATAGATTCTTATAGATCTTTTTATGTAGATTCCAGTGGCGTAGTCAGTTTTTCTCTGGAAGTGATAGTTTATGAGACCTTTATCATTTTCCTTACAGATTTAAAGTTCTTTTCAAACACATTGTTGTTTATAACAAAAACAGACATAATAGAGATAGACCTATCGAACTTTATATTATTGAAATCAGCAAATGCAGAACTATCCGATAAGTTTTAAACATACAGTGCGTCTCATTTGAAAAAAGTACCTTGGTTTGGTACATAATTGAAAAACTCTAACTTCTAGAGAAAAACTGACTTCGCCATTGGAATCTCTGTCGAAAGATCTATAGGAACTCGTTGCCACCTTTTGGAACACTTATGAGAGTATCGAGATAAAAAGGGTGTCCCGAGAGGTGTCCCAAAATGTAACATTCTCAAAAACACCTCAAAAAACACCTTGTAACTGAAGAACAAAAAGAGCGATGACAATTTTGTTGACGGCAACTTTCGTTTGACAAAAAAGTAGCCAACGTTCGCAAAAGCTGCATCCTTCTAACTTTAATAATAGCAACAGAGATATCCTTTATGTACCTACAACCAAAATAGGACACCCTGTACAACTTCTCAATCCGAGTAATGTGTAAAAGAGAGATAAAAATACTGAATATTCTCAACACATTAGGTCTGTTTCCACAGAAATCACAAACCAGTCAGAGCATTTTTGATTGGTCCAAATCGCCAACAACCAGTTTCCTGAGTATTTTCAACCAATGAAATTCGCTTTGACTGGTTTGTAATTTCTGTGGAAACAGACCTATTGATTATGGTGATATTTTTTAATTTGTTAAAATTAGAGAGAAAATGTAGTTTTGATATTTTGTTGTTTTGTTCTAACCCAATTAATATACATAGTCTTTACACAATCGTTCACAATCCTTACATAATCAGTCACAATCACCCACAATCGCTCACAATTGTGACACAAACAATCACAATCGCTCACAATTATTCACAATCCTTACACAATCAGTCACCATCATTCACAATCATTCACAATCGTACACAATCACTCACAATCTTAGCAAATTTCCTTAAAGATTGTGGAATTTGGCAGTCGGTGTACATATTTTGGGCCAGCTATTCACCCCTCGGTCATTTGGGATCCCCCAAACTCCATACACTAAATTATTCTCAGATTTGAAGCCGAAATCTATGAAAAAAGGCACTCAGAAAAATTGAAAAATTGATAAATCACCCCAAATTGCTTAACACCATTTTATCTCAGGAACTATAAATGCAAATGAGTTGAAATTTTCAGGGATTGTATTTCTCTATTACAATGAGAATCGCTGAAAATTTCAGCATTCTATCTTTAATGGAAAAAAAAATTATGACCTTCCAAAGTTTTCCAAAATCTACATCATAAGGTAGGTACCTTCTTACTTTTGTGGAGATTTTGTTTTCTAATGGTCATTTGTGATCCCCCAAACTCCATATACTAAATTATTCTCAGATTTGAAGCCGAAAACTATGAAAAAAGGCACTCAGAAAAATTGAAAAATTGATAAATCACCCCAAATTGCTTAACACAATTTTATAACTATAGGTCCAAATAAGTTGAAATTTTTAGGGATTGTGGTCCTCTATTATAATAAGAATCGCTGAAAATTTCAGCTTTCTATCTTTGATAGAAAAAAAGTTAAGACCATCTAAAGTTTTCCAAAATCTACATCATAAGGTAGGTACTCGGGTAGGTAGGTACCTTCTTACTAAAACGATGAAATTTCAATTTTTTTTTTGTGGAGATTTTGTGTCCTAATGGTCATTTGTGATCCCCCAAATTCCATATAGTAAATTATTCCCAGATTTGAAGACGAAAACTATGAAAAAAAGGCACTCAGAAAAATTTAAAAAATGATAAAACACCCCAAATTGCTTAACACAATTTTATCTCAGGAACTATAGGTCCAAACGAGTTGAAATTTTCAGGGATTGTGGTCCTCTATTACAATAAGAATCGCTGAAAATTTCAGCTTTCTATCTTTAATAGGAAAAAAGTTACGACCTTCCAAAGTTTTCCAAAATCTACATTATAATGGTCATCTCTGATCCCCCAAACTCCATATACTAAATTATTCTCAGATTTGTAGCTGAAATCTATGAAAAAAGGCACTCAGAAAAATTGAAAAATTGATAAATCATTTCAAATAGCTGTAGATCGACAAAAACAGGTTATAGTGGTACGAGTATATTGATAATATACTCGTATAAAAGTATTTTTGAATTTTCATTGGCATATAATAAGAAAGATAATAATATCTACCTATATTCTCTGTGTATATCGTCCTCCTGTTACAAATTCAACTGGTTTTTTAATAAGTTTAGAAATCATTTTATTGGTAAAATTGTTTGTACCGCTGATTTTAATTTAGATTGAAATAGTGATAACTTGACTAGTACAGAAGCTTTAAAAAATCTAATACTTTCCTATGACTTAAAAATGTTTGTTAACTCCCCAACTGGAATAACTGCCACTACTATAGATTACTTTTGTATCAACTTTAGTCATGACAATATAAAGTGTGAGGTTCTTCCTAACAATCTTTCTGATCATGGGGCATTATTTTCCAGCTTTCCCATACAAAAAGTATCTCAATGTATAATGTTAGAGCATTTTTTCAGGTGAAAACTTTGGGAATTGGTGCTCGACTTGGACAGGCCTATATTCATAATTCCATTACCGCGCTTTAGATCCATTTTCGGTTTGTTTTTTTTGATAAAAACACCCTACTTTAATAAATCCTGAAAGTTTGAAGTCCCTTTAACTGCTTTTTTTTTGGCCAGTTGATGGCACCCTCCTTCACAAATGCAAAGTGCAATTTTCACAATGTGATTTCAAAAAAAAAAATAGTTTTTTTGTAAAAGTAGAAAAATTGGGCTCGCAATGACAAAATATACAGGGTGTTTCATTGAAAATAAGGCAGTCATTTTAAGAGATATTTACCTGCAAAATGTGTCAGTTTATCTAAAAATAAATAGATCCATTACCTGTTGAATATTTGAATGAAGATGCTCTCTTCTTGAAACTAGTTTTCTTTGATTCCCTTCTTGTAATATTCAAATGCTCCAAAATGTCTTCAGATTGAGGCAGATTGAATCTGCCACCAAAAGAGCTTCTTCTATTTTTCTTATTACCATCCAAAGGAATTTTATTAGGGGAAGGAATTTGGTCATTTGTTGGTGATTTCTCGAATGTGCTTCTTTTTGGGTTTTTAATGGGTGTGGGCTCAATCACTTGATAATTAAATACTGGAACATCCAACAAAGTAGGTTCAGTTTTTTCAAAAGTACTTTTCAATTTTTTCTTTGGACTTGGGTTAGTGATTTCATTCACAAAAGAATCAATTTCACTTTTGTCAAAAGTAGTTCTTAGCTTTTTCTTGGGACTCTGACCAGTACTGTCACTTGAAGATTTTTTTTTATTAGACCTTTGCTGGTAAATTGAATTATCATCGATGTCATTTTTATCAAAAGTAGTGTTTAGATTTTCTTGATTAATTTCCTCTTTATCAAATGTATTTCTCAGTTTTCTAGGGCTCGGCCAAGTAATTTCTTCATCAACTGACTGACTTATTCCAAATTTTCTAGTTAAAACTGGCTGACTAATTGAATCATAAAATACTTCATCGCTTCCAGTAGTGTTGTCAACTTTTGATTTTGTAGTCAAATGACAAATTGAATCATAGAATATGTCGTCGCTCATAGCAGTTTCTGTTGTTAATTTCTTACTATTTTGGAAAACTTCATCATTTAACGAATTCTCAAAGGTTTTATTGGGGCTTGATGTAGAAGAATCACTAATTACAATGACAGATGCCTCACTTTTTGATGAAGTTTTACTATTTCTAGAACTCAACCGTCTTGTAGGCTTTTTGTCTCCAATTTCAGTAAAGTCAAAGGTGAAACCATCAAAATCGAAAACGTTTTCTTCGGCTAATGGCAAAACTGTAGTGCTAATGTCAAAAGTATTATTTAGAACTTGTTTAGTTGCTTCTGGAGATTTGGTTTTTGAAGTAGTGGCACGTTTTGCTTTATTTGTAGGTGTATAAGTGGATTGTTTCTTTAAATTTTTAGGCGCAGGAGTTTTGCTTAGTTTAGCAACAAAACTTGTCTTTGGTTTTGGAGAATTGACAACCGAAACTGGAAAAATAAACTCACAAATCCAGATAAGTTACAATACAAATACATACCAGATCTATTAGGTCTTGGTGAATTTCTCAATACTGAGTTCTTTCTTAAATTGTCTACTGCAGTATTTTTCATAGCTCCAATAATATCTTTTTCCTTAATTTCAACTTCTTCTGCATCTTCATTGAGATTCTCGAGGGCAGAAGTGCTGCTTAATTTGGAAATCAGTCTTTGCTTTGGCATTGGAGAATCAACAACTAAAATTTTTAAAAAATAAATAAATTATGCGAAATTTGACAAAGCTACATACTTGGGGAGTTTTTGGATTTAGAGTTTTTCTTTAAACTGTTAACAACTTTAGCTTCAAGCACATTTGAAACTCCTTCTGTAAATACTTCATCTTCATTTACTTTTCCAAGGGACGAAGCACTAACTAAAATCAGTTTCAATTACAGAAAATTCACATATAGCACCAATACATACTTGATCTATTTCGTTGCAATGCAGATTTCTTCCTCACTACATCAGAAACTGCAATTCCTTGATCTTCATTCACTGATGGAGAATCTACAACTAAAATTTCAAATAATAAAGTTAGTCGAGAGCATTATTAAATAAGTACTTACTTGATCTTTTTGGTTTAGGGGAATTCTTAAATGCAGGGGTACCAATCACTGGCTTTTTGAATAGTGCAGGAGTGCTGCTTAATTTGGCAGCAACTCTTGGAGAATCTAAAACTGAAATTTAAAATAATACAATTTATTGAAAAATCTAAAAAAATAAGTACCAGATCTTTTTGGTCTTGGCGAATTCTTCATTATTATTGAATTGAGACGTTTTTCTTCTTTTCCATTAGTCACATTCAAAACATCTTTATCTTCATCCAGCTGTTTTTTAGGAATATCTCCAGTTTCAATAACTGCATTTTGCTTGATTGATTTACGCTTGGACTTTCTCTTAGATTGCCGTGGCATTTCCGCATTTTCCTTGTCCAATTCAACAGCACTTTCTTCAGATACTGACAGCATTTTTGTTAAATTTCTAGAAGTTTTTTGGGAACTTCTTGAACATCCGCGTCTCAAATTTCTACCCGAGGTTCCAGCATCTTGTGAGTCAGATTCAGCTGATTGTGAACTACCTTCGAGCTAAAAAAAAAACACTCTAGTTGATACACGAAAATGATTATTTTAATTCGACTTACAGATGGTAAAAAATCCAAGCGCTCGCCTCTTTTCGTTTTAGTTTTTTTGGCTGATTTGGTCACAGGATGGTCATCGGTTAAATCCAAGAAATTGTTCAAACCCAATGTTGATCTTATTTTCTTTCTGCTTTTGCCCTTTTTGATCTTTTTTTGTTCGCTTGCTATTTCATCACTTTCCATAGAGGAACAAGACGAACTTTTGAGTTGTTTTGAGCTTAGTGAAGCCATCTGGATAAAAAAAAAGTGGAACTGAGATTTGAACCAAAAATATACTTGAAGTAAGAACATTCAGTACATTTGACAATTGAAGTATTTTACCTAAGTACTTTTAGAAGAAGAGTACTTTTTTTTTTCAGAACACAAGTTATAAAGGGGTGTTACAAATTCGTAAGTATGAGGATCTCTGTAACAATTTTACAAAGTTACACAAATTCTAGCTCACCAAAATACCGTTTCAAAAATTGCTTAAAGATAATAAAGATAAAGGAATATTTCCACAAATAATAAAGATTTCTCTTCAATCAATTTTTGTCTATTCCCGGCTCTTCAATCAATTTTTGTCTATTCCCGGCTCTTGAAGTTAATTGTCAACGGTCACTTCTGTCAAATTATACAAGGAAGTATTTGTCAAATAATTATGCATGTGTCAATCCATGGCCAACTTGATGGCAAATTTTTCCAAAAAGTCTCTTATCATTCTCATTGATTGGAAAAGAAGGGCTGATGACGGACTGTCAATTCCACAAATAATAATGATTTCTTTTCAATCAATTTTTGTCTATTCCTGGCTCTTGAAGTTAACTATCAATGGTCACTTCGGTCAAATTGTACAAAAAAGTATTTGTCAAATAATTGCGCATGTGTCAATCCACGGCCAACTTGATGGCATATTTTTCCAGAAAGTCTCTTATCACTCTTTTTGATTAGAAAAGGAGGGCCGATGATGGATTGTCAATCCCACAAATAATAAAGATTTCTTTCCAATCAATTTGGAATGGTTAATAAGCATTTAAATCAACGGGATTCATAATTAGAAATGGCAAGTCTTTTGAGTTGTGAACGATTGTTAGGCTTTATTATGCTCTGGTGAGACCACATCTAGAATATGCTGCCCAAATCTGGATGCCCACAGCCCACACACATGTAGACCATATAGAAAAAGTTCAAAAGAGGTTCTTAAGATACCTTTATGTCAGGAAAAATAACATGTATCCATATATGGTCTCGTATAGAAGCATGCTTGGGGGCTTTGGGTTTGAAAGTTTGCAGAGTAGAAGAGATAAACAGGCTGTGATATTTGTATTCAACCCTATTAATTATGTAAAATATGAAGACTGTGATTTAATTAAATACTCGATTAAATATATACACCTAAACATACCTAAAATTAACTTGAGAAATCTAAACTATGAGTTATTTAATAGAGATCTAGTCAGTAGGTACATCACCCATAAATACAATGACAATGTTATCAATATGCAACAGAATACTCATGAGAGTCAATATAGATATATTTAATACAAATATTGAAGAGTTACAGAAGATCTAAGTCAACCTTACTGTTTCTGTTTGTGAATGTATGCTTTTTTGGTTTATGTTAGGTTTAGTCTAGTGTAGTGTAGTAATTTGTTAGTTGTAGTTATTCTTTACCAACCATTACTTGTAGTTTCACCACATCGTAATGTTTGTAATGTGAACAATAAATAAATAAATACATTTTTGTCTATTTCTGGCTCTATCAATGGTCACTTCTGTCAAATTGAACAACTGAGTAGTTGTCAAATAATTGCCCATGTGTTAATCCATGGCCAACTTGATGGCACATTTTTCCAGAAAGTCTTTTGTCACTCTCATTGGGCCGATGACGGACGTCAATTCCCCAAATAATAAAGATTTCTTTTCAATCAATTTCTGTCTGTTCCCGGCTCTTGAAGTTAAGTGTCGATGGTCACTTCTGTCAAATAGTACAACAAAATATCTGTTAAATAATTGTCCATGGCCAACTTAGGATATTTTTTTCAGAAAATCTCTTGTCACTTTCAGTGATTAGAAAAGGAGGGCCGATGACGGACTGTGAACTCCACAAATAGTAAAGGTTTCTTTTCAATCAATTTTAGTCTGTTCCTGGCTCTTGAAGTTCATTAAAGTTCTATCAAGTATTTGAGAATAGATTTGCTGCTTTATAAGTAGTAAATTGTATTAAAATTATGTTTAAACCCTGGTTGGATATTTTGAAAACATCAGTTAATTGACGGTAAAAACACAGCTTGTAAATATCCAAGGGGCAAACAACCTAGGAATTCTTTGCAAAAAATGTGAGGAATTTAGAGAAGTTTGTGGGGAATTTGAAGCAACTCATCGAAGTTTATGAGAATTTGGGGAATTTATAAGAGAAATTTATGGGGAATTTGTGAGGAATTTATGAGGAATTTAAAGGAAATTGTAGAGTTATGACATCACCGAGATTCGCATTCTAGTAAATGGTAATTTAAAAAAAAGAATCTAGTTTTATGTTGAGCGTTGGACATTCATTTTCATCGAAAAAATTCTCCCAAAATTTCTCACCTTCCTTTTCACATGCAAAAAGTTTCAAAATTTACCCTTTACTAGTTTTCCAGGAAAACTTTGAAATGTGTGAGACTGTATTTTCAATTATTTCAGTTATTAGGAGTTGATTTCTAAGATTCTTCACGTTGTTATTTTCCACTGGAATTTGAAATTTTGGGAAAATGAGCCTCTGACTTCCTTTTCACATGTAAAAAGTTTCAAAATTTTCCCTTAATTAATTTTCCAGGAAAACTTTGAATTGTGTGAGACTACATTAACAATTATTTCAGTGTTTGTAAGTTGATTTCCAAGATTGTTCATGTTGTTATTTTCCGCTGGAAAAATTTGGAATTTTGGGAAAATGAGCTTCTACCCTTTCTCTTTACGTGCAAAAAGTTTCAAAATTTCTCCTATTTGAAATTTTGGGAAAATAAGCCTTCAACCTTTCTACTCTTCACATGCAAAAAGTTCGAAATTTTGGCCTTCACTAGTTTTCTAGGAAAACTTTGAATTGTGTGAAACAGTATTTTTAATTAATTCAGTTATTGTAGGTTCTTTTCCAAGATTTTTCATGTTGTTATTTTCCACTGGAAAAATTTAAAATATTGGGAAAATGAGCTTTTTCCCCTTCCTCTTTACATGCAAAAAGTTTCAAAATTTTCCCTTCACTAGTTTTCCAAGAAAACTTTTAATTGTGCAAAACAGTATTTTTTATCAATTCAGTTATTGTAGGTTGATTTCCAAGATTCTTCATGTTGCTGTTTTCCACCAGAAAAATTTGAAATTTTGGGAGAATGAGCTCCTCCCCTTTCTCTTTATTTGTGAAAAGTTTCAAAATTTTTCCTATTTGAAATTTTGGGAAAATAAGCCTTCAACCTCGCCTTTAACCTTTCTACTTTTCACATGCAAAAAGTTTGAAATTTTGGCCTTCACTAGTTTTCTAGGAAAACTTTGAATTGTGTGAAACAGTATTTTTAATTAATTCAGTTATTGTAGGTTGTTTTCCAAGATTTTTCATGTTGTTATTTTCCACTGGAAAAATTTAAAATATTGGGAAAATGAGCTTTTTCCCCTTCCTCTTTACATGCAAAAAGTTTCAAAATTTTCCCTTCACTAGTTTTCCAAGAAAACTTTTAATTGTGCAAGGCAGTATTTTTTATCAATTCAGTTATTGTAGGTTGATTTCTAAGATTTTTCATGTTGTTACCTACTTTTTTTTCACTGGAAAAATTTGAAATTTTGGGAAAATGAGCTTCTCACCTTCCTCTTTACATGCAAAAAGTTTCCAAATGTCCACTTTATTAGTATTCCAGGAAAACTTTGAAATGTGTGAAACTGTATTTTTAATTAGTTCAGTTTTTGTAGGTTGATTTCAGAGATTCTTCATGTTGCTATTTTCCACTGGAAAAAATTCAAATTACGGGAAAATGAACCTCTAATATCCCTCTTTACATACGAAAAGTTTCAAACTTTTCTATTCACTAGTTTTCCAGGAAAACTTTTGTTGTGTAAGACTGTATTTTCAATTAATTCAGTTATTAGTAGGTTGATTTCCAAGATTCTTCATGTTGCTATTTTCCACTGGAAATACTGAAATTATGGGAAAATGAGTTTCTAACCTTCTTCTTTACATACAAAAAGTTTCAAATTTTTCTTTTCACTAGTTTTCTAGGCAAACTTGGAAATGTGTGAGACTGTATTAATTTTCAATTAAGTAATTCAGTTATTGTAGGTTGATTTCTAAGATTCCTCATGTTGTTATTTTCTACTGGAAAAATTTGAATTGAATTGAATAATTGGATAATTGAAAAACATAATAAAAGTAAACATCGAGGAGTTTTTTACCTAGCAAAATTTGTACACCGATTAACAGTACCAACTGAGATATTTCCATGTATTAACTAGGGTTTCCATACGTCCGGATTTACCCGGACATGTTTGGGTTTTTAGGGTGTCCGGGGAAGTCCGGCCGGAATTCGGAACAATGTCCGGAAAACTCGGAGATACCCAGGGATGATACACACTACTACTACTACTACTACAGGATGGCCTATCCTCATAAAAGCCTGTGTGTAACAAACTTACGGCCATTTCCACCAACTATTTTAGGGAAGCCCTAACGATAGGAATGCCTTGAACTGACATTTCTCCATGTAAAAATGTCATTTTAGGGAATACTTATCGTTAGGGCTCCCTTAAAATAGTTGGTGGAAACGGCCATTAAAGTAACAAATGTCCCCCTAGCCCAAATACCAGTTGTGACGTATGCAGCATGTTATTTCTCGCCTTGACTTGGGCTGTTTAAACAGCTGATGACGTCAGAAATGGTTTCACACCAATATGGCGGCAAATACCAAAAACAAGGCCGATAAGCACTCCTTAGAGTGTGTATTCTCCATGGGAGATGGAGATACCTACCAAAAATTCGAAATTTTGTATCGGGGTGGCAAGTAAATTGCATCCTGTATCCATTTATTCTGGGTTGCGTATAGGATTGATACACGTGTTATTATATTTTTGTCTCTTGTCATTGGTAGGTACCTTGTATTTGTCATTGTGTCTTCAGTCTAACGAAAAAAATGCTCAAAGCGTACCTATCTATTAATTAATTCCTGTAGAAATTTATTTTTGCAAAAAATATACAAAATTCATTCTTTATAAAAAATTTATCGGCGAAGTCCGGATTCTGTCCGGATTTCTTGACTCCTAGGTCCTGGATTCCGAAAAACCTTTATGGAAACCCTAGTATTAACAGATATTTCTATATACCTAATAACAAGTTATTGCCAACTATTTCCATGCATTAACAAAAAATTTCCACGTATTGCCAGGTATTTCCCTAGAATTATCACATATAACCAGGTATTGCCATGCTATTGACAGACTAAAATCAAATATTTGTTTTGCCAGAATTCTAGGTATAGACATATCCACAATATGTATTTACATGTTATTAATGGGTATCAACCAATGACAATAACATATAATATCTCAAGCCATTCTTTCAGTGGATTTCTAATACACATATATAACGAAAGGTCCCTTATCAGACAAATGACTGAAATGAGAAATAACGAGAGAAATAACAAAGGAAATAATTTAAAAAATCAGTTTTCATTATCTTTATTGTTGTTCTGTGGTGGAATATCCACGTAAAGAATAGTCAGTTTGAGAATTATTATTGCAGGGGGGCGCACCCTAGACCTTAGTACATTCAATTTACCTAAAAAACCCCTTACTAACCAAAACAAAGTAAATGTAATTGAAAATTCCAAGCAATGGGATGACAATGCTAATGCTAGATACTCACCTGTCTCACCTTACCAAAAGACAAGAAAACCACAACAAATTAATGAGAATGTCCAAGTCCTCAAATGGCAAGTACTTAACTCGTCTACAGCGGGGTATAGGTAAGGTTTAATTTCACAATACACAAATACAAAAAAATAAATATATGAATAATTACATTACAATTACCTAGTTTTCTCTATCCAATTTCCACTTTTTCTTGCAACAAAAACAGCACACCATTACCAAAGTAGTTTACCAGTCAGTGTCCACTGCACTGCAGAAGAATTATTAATTTTTGAATATTTTTTGATAAAATTCCAGTTTTTTACTCGGTTTTTTATCAGTAGAAATTAAAATTAGAGATAAATTCGTTACGTTTGATTTTATTTTGACAATTGACATTAGCTTGACAGTAGCTGATTGAGTACTGTGGGTGAGTTCGGCTTGCTCACTCCGTGCACTCGGAGTGACTCCATTCGCACTCTAGCCGTTCGGGTTAAGGTTCGGGTATTGCTTTTTAAGGTATTAGGGGTGACTCCATTAGCTCTGTTCACTCCACTCCAACTCCGCGCTGAATAGCCGAACTCAACTCAGCTTCTGTAGCCGGTTCAGGGGTGCGATTTTCGAAACCATTCGTACACGAAAGGACCCCGCACATTTCTTATATGGAAAAGTGATCTATGTGGAATTTTGCTGAATTTTTGATATCGTGTATAGGGAGTCGTCCTTAACAAAAGTGATCATTGCGCTAATGTTCAATACCCAACAGTTTTCAAGATATCAATTAAAAACTTTTTTAATATTATACTCTTCAGTATGACGTCACCAGTATGCTCACACTTCTCAGCACCGAAAATTATAATACTTATTTGTCACTAATCGCTATCGCTATCTTTTTTTTTTGTTAATGTTAAAAGGAGAAGATTAAAATCAAAGTCAAAAGTGGAAAGGATAGTAATAATTTTCGTTGCTGTGAGCATACTGGTGACGTCATACTGAACAGTATCATATTGAAAAAGTTTTTAATTGATATCTTGAAAACTGTTGGGTATTGAACATTAGCGCAATGATGACTTTTTTTAAGGACGACTCCTTATACACAATATCAAAAATTCAGCAAAATTCCACATAGATCACTTTTCCATAAGAAATGTGCGGGGTCCTTTGACTGACATCAATGTAAATTAAATGGGGAGCAGTCAAATTTCGTGTACGAAATGTACTCGAATGGTTTCGAAAATCGCACCCCACAGAACAGTTGTTTATTTAATTCAAGCAAGGGTGACGGTTTTGACACCAAAATTTAAATTTTAGTGATTTTGTGAATTGAACTGCTTTAGTTTTTCTTTATTTGTATAGCACTGGCGGCGGTAGATTCTTCATACCTTGCGTTCGGTATTTTGCTCGAAGAGCAGAGCGTGCTGAGCGGAGCCGTAATCACGTGACCAGCGAGGGAACAGAGCAGTTGAACGCAATATAAAAGTGCCAGAAATTTTAATAAACGAACGCGAATGAGGCTGCACCGAGTACACTTTTTGAATAAACGAACGGTAAAGTCATGCTCGGAGAACTCAGACCAAAATAACGAACGCACGGATAAACGAAACCTAGTTGAATCGGTTCAAACAATTTCGGAGCAGCACTAGGAATTCTCTTGTGGTTCCAGAACTGATAGTTCCGACACCTTATCGCGAACAAAGAGGTTTTATCGATATTCATAGGAGGTATCGATGCGATAATTTTTTACTTTTTTGGAAAATCATTCATCAAAAGGGTAAACTGGTAAACTTTACATTTTTATTCTGACATTGGCAATACTGTTTTATGAGAAATCGCTATTGTTGTTTTGACATTTTACAACAGCCTGTAAACTGTCAACTGTCACCTGTCAAAGGGAAATGGAAACTATTCAATTTTCAGCAGCGTCTCGTTCCCTTTGAAAAATGTTTATATTGGTAACAAAAGTGCCGAAAATTAGGAAAAAGTCCATATAAGTATAGAATAAATATAATTGTTTAATTTTTAAAAAACCCTATTGTAAAGTTAATTTTTCTAAGCGTGCAATGGAGCAGCCTTTTAAAAACATTTTGGACTACATAAAGAGCTTATTTTCCATAAATCCGCTCGAAAGAACCCGTAAAAGAAGGTAGAAGCAGTTTTTGTAGTTTTCTTTTAATGGTTTCTTATCAGGGTATTAATTTTTAGTGCTGCTGGTCCAATATTTGAATCAAGATCAAAGTTGTGTCGATTATCTCCGTATAGTAAGCCTACTACTACTACTACTAGTAGATATATTCCTATTCATCGAGAAAGTGAGGGTAAGTGATCACTTTTGGCCAGGGTTGGCAGGTATTAGGTTTTTTGAAACACTTACCACCACACTATTTACCTAATATTGTTAAGTACTTCTTTCCAAAATTCTATATCTATGTTTTATTCATTGGGTTTAGCTATCAATAGGGTTGCCAGATTGATATATCTACAAATCGGGTATACCATTCAAAAAGCTGTTAAAAAATCGGGACACTTTTTTTTAAAGGAATAATTTGATATAAAAATAAAACTGAACAATAAAATTTTTCCCAACCGTCAAAAAAAGTTGACATTTTTAGACTACTTTGAGGTGCAAAAGCTAACAATTCTTGTAACGGTCAAAAATACATATATTCGTTGCTTTCTACTTTCAATCTGGAGGATTAAAAGTAACCACCAGTAACTTACTTTTAATCCAGCGGATTAAAAGAAACCACCAGTAAATTACTTTTAATCCGTTGGAATTAATTCAATTCAAAAAAAATTTCCAACTTTTAAAAGAATTTCGTGAAATCGGGACATTTAGCGTCCCGACGTATAGTCCATTAGGACACGGGTCAAAATCTCCAATATCGGGACTGTCCCGTTAAAATCGGGACGTCTGGCAACCCTAGCTATCAATGCTATCATTATGTGAATAATTTAACATACCTACATCACCAATAATGTGTTACAACTGTTAGGTACTGAAAAAACCTTAAAAAACTTTAACAAACCTTAAAAAACCTAAAATACCCCAAAAACCTCAAAAAACCTATAAACCTAAAAAAAATTTTCCCAAATCGTAGGTTTTTTCCAACCCTGCTTTTGGCTTTTTTTTTGAAATTGTTTATTCAACTACAATATCTATACCGAGGGGTTTTTCACCTTGTTAATCGGTGTACAAATCACTGGTTAATATATGTCAATACCAGGTAAATACTATGTCACTAGTGTCAATACTCAATACTATGCAATACCTACTTGTTAATTATGTAGGTAATATATGTCTATACTTGTAGATATCTAGGCAATATTATGTTAATGTCATTGGTTGATACCCATTAATAACATCTAAATTCCCGAGTAAATACCTGTGGATATGTCAATACCTAGAATTCTGGCAAGACAAATATTTGATTTTAATCTGTCAATAGCATGGCAATACCTGGTAATATGTGATAATACTAGGGAAATACCTGGCAATATGTGGAAATATTTTGTTAATACATGGAAACAGTTGGCAATAACTTATTAAGTACAGGCTGTTTCCTTATATATATTAATCCTTTATTTAGCACCTGGCTAATTACAAAAATAAATGAACATACAAGTCAAATTAATTATTACATACTACATTATACGCCTACTAAAATAAAATAAAAAATAAAATATCATGCAAGTAAATACAAATTACAATAATGCAAAACACAGTATAAAATATAAAATAAAAATATATAGCAACAATTTAAAAAAACTGCAATAGAATATAAAATATAATATGTCACTTGCGTCATTATCCTACATGTTCATTACATATTACATAATAAAAAACAAAAAAAAATAGAAATCCTAAGTTTAAAATGTGTATAGTAAACAACAAATATAATGATTTACAAACAACATGCAAGTCTTGAAAAACACAGAAATCAAAGATATACAAAATTCAACAAAAACAACAAAGATGAAACAAGTATTACTGTATTATTCTCCCATAAGATGAATCTTTAACTTTCTTTTAAATAAATTAATATTTGGGGCGTCCTTTATTTGTTGAGGCAAAGCATTAAAATAAATTAAACCCTTATGGTATAAACCATTTTCAGTTCCTTTTTTATTTTTTGTTGTAACATAAAAATTGTTACGATTCCTAGTAGGGTACGAATGTACAGAAGAATGACTTCTTAATTTTTTAGTCAAATATGAAGGTGTTAGCTCATTTTTCATTTTATAAATTAACAACATATTTTGGTAAATAAGAAATTTTTCAACAGAAAGCCAATTTAGTTTTCCTAACATATTCTTTATAGGCGTTTCACGCCTTTCACGTAAAATAAATCTCATTGCCCTATTTTGCAATTTTTGCAATCTGTTCTGATCATTTTTGTTACACAGGTACAGGATCGAGGAACTAAAGATATAATGTGGTAAGATCAAAGTATTATAGATAGTAAGCTTGGTCCATTGTGACAAAAAAGATGTGAATCTAGACAGAAAATTTACACCTTTGGTAATTCTTTCGATTGTATACAAAATGTGATCCCTAAATGTAAGTGAGGAGTCAACAACAAATCCAAGATATTTATGTGTCTCTACTCTCTCAATAATATGACTACTGATTTTAACATGAAGATTATTTTGTGTAATTGATTCTTTATCTGCTCTACCACCTATTAACATAAATTTTGTTTTAGATAAGTTCAATTTAAGAGAATTAATATTGAACCATACATGCAGGTGTTCCAAATCAATGTTCAAGGTCTCAACTAGGTCATTCATATCTTTAGACTTGAAATACAACAGTGTGTCATCTGCAAATAAATGGACTGAACATTTTTTTATTGATCTGTTTATATCATTAATATAAAGGATAAATAGCAGTGGTCCCAAAGTGCTACCCTGCGGAACGCCTACGTCATTTAAAATTTCGGTCGAAGTATGTCCATTGATTTTGGTTACCTGCAATCTTTTGTCCAAGTAGTTACAAAGCCACTCCAATGCTTTATCAGCTATACCATATCTCTCCAATTTGGCTATTAACATAGACCTATTCACTGTTTCAAAAGCACGTTTCAAATCAAGAAAAACAGCACCAATTGCATAATTTTCATCCAGAAGATTTTTCCACTCATGAAGAATGTGCTGAATTGCAGTTTCACAGCTATGCAATTTTCTAAACCCAGACTGATTTTCTATCAATACATTATTTGCTGTAATAAAACTAACTAGTTGACCATAGACCACTTTTTCCAGTAATTTTTCGATAGTTCCTAACATATTTACTGGTCTAAAGTCTTCAACTTTAATAGACCCTCTAACTTTTTGTATAGGAATAACAGTTGCCACCTTCAACAATGATGGAACCCTGCCAACCTCCAGTGAGCTATTAATAATATGTAATAAAGGATTTTTAATATTTTCAAAAGTGTTTTTTATGAAATCTAATGTTATATCGTCAGGGCTACCCTTATTTGGTAAGCTAAATAAAACCTCGTGAAGTTTTTCATGATCTATCATCTTGAACGAACTAAGGGTATCTTTAGGTTTATCAAATACATAATTTATTTCTGAATAAGTATTATCTATACTATCAACTATGTGAAGCACACTATTAACAAAATATTTATTTATCCCATCTGCCATTTCTTCTGAAGAAGTATAAGTTACCCCTTCTATATCTATTTTTTTCATTTTATTCCCTTTTTTGTCAGAAATTACTTCACTCAATGTCTGCCACATTTTTCTTGGATTATTCTTTACATCATCAATTTTATTGTGATAAAATATTTTCTTTTCTTCCCTTATTACCATTAAAACCCTATTTCTACACTGTTTATAGATATTTTTGTTTTCCTCCGTTTTACTTATTTTATAATTTCTGTATCTATTATCTCGGTCCCTAATTGCTTCTTTAACCCTTTCATTAAACCATTCTTTATAATAGTATTTTATCAGTTTTTGTTCTCTTGGTGCTATTTCATTTAGCACCTTTAAAAGTTGACTATAAAAGATGGTATATTTAATATCTATACTATTATTTACCCGATAATCCCAATCAATTACACTAAGAGAATTATTTATTCTAAAATAATCAATTTTACCTCTTGTATTTATTACATTATTCTGCCTTTTAATTTTATTTAAATTTAAATTCATTACAACTATAAAATGATCACTTATTCGTGGAGTTTCCTCTACAGTACAACTTAAAATCTCCTTCTTATTTGAGAAAACCATATCTATAATACTTCCACCCACCTCTGTAGAATGAGTAACTTCTTTAACCAATTGTTCCAATCCTACATCAAGAGCAATTTTTTTTAATCTTGTAGAATAAGTGTTGTTATTTAACCAATTAATATTAAAATCACCTACTATTATAACTGGATGACCAATATCAAGCAATTTATCGCATATCTGTTCGAAAAACATCAAAAAATCAGCATGACTAGAACTAGGAGAATGATACAGATTTCCCAAAATATAAACCTTATTGAACAAACATATATGTATCTCTAGGAACCAGTAATTCCTTAGGTAGTTATACTTTTTAATTTGTAGAATACTGATTTGATCCTGTATAAATATCAATACCCCTCCCGTATGTCTATTATCACTGTCCTCTCTTATTATATTATAACCTGGTATATCAAACTCAAAATCACCAAAATCCCTAGTCAGTCTTGTTTCGGTCAGACACGCGGCAAGCACTTGTGTTTTTTGTATATATTCACTTATTTCATCGAATTTTGATGGCAAACTTTGTGTGTTTAATAAAATGATATTATTTTGCGATTTATGCGTATCTGTATGATAGTTATTTTTCTCCGACACTAGAAAACCAGTTCTTTTTTTTGTATTTGATCTAAAAAATGCTTGTCACAATCCGACACGAAACAGTTATCAGATAAGATTAAAGTGTTACTGGTTGGTTCCAAGATACATGTTGATCTCCCCATAACAGGTGGAATATTTGTTTTTTGTATGCAAGCATCACTATGATTGTTAGAAGACGCTGTAATGTTTGAGATGTCTTTATCTCTATTTGTAGTAGTTAATACAACAATATTATTTGGCCTGACCAAATTACTATAGGAAATATATTGCCTGAAAAGGCTACATAGTTTGTTTTTATTTAATCGATAACCTTGCTCATATTTGACGTTTTCAATTATTCGTACTGATACATTACCTTTCTTAACAAATGAACTGCAAAACATGTTCATTCTCCTGTACATATTTTTAACCTTATAATTTTGTGGCGAATCATAGTTTAAACACAAAATAAGATTAGTGTACCTTCCAA